AGAGAGAGAGGGAGGGAGAGAGAGAGAGGGAGGGAGAGAGAGAGACCATATGTGTTCATGGGATTCACAGGACCAGGGCCAGCTGAGTGGACCTCCCAAAGGCTTCCTTGTTCAAGCCTGCTAGACTAAGGCCTAGCCTGAGTCCAAAGACTACCCCCATCCCCCTGTACACATTAGCTCAGGGCCCAGCTGGCAGGATTCCTTGGCACTCAACATTTCTCCATCTAGAAAAGCACAAGATTCCTCTCACCGAGGCTAAATTTCAGCAAAAGTGGTTCATTCCATTAGAGAAGTTAATTAGCCCTGGGGCCCAGTCCCCTCTAGCAGGATTCTGGGGAAAGGGGACCAACCACCTGGACAGGCAGACCAAACTTGGGTTCCTTTTGGGTACTCATGAATCCAGGGATCCCTCCCTACTTGGGTCAGCCTTGGGTAGAAGAGAGAGACCCAGAATGCAGCCAGCTCAGACCCCCATGGAGTCTTTCACTTCCACAGCTGGCACTGTTCCTGGCACAGAGTAATCTTAGAAATGATTTGTTGTTGAATGACAGATACTGTCTGCTCCCCATCTCCCAGACTTCTTCCCACCTAAGCCAGTGTGTCTGGCACCCATGGATGTGCCTGGGAGCGGGACACTCCAAGTCACATTGTGACTGCCTCCACAAGGCAGGGACTGCTGCCTGATCTGATCCTTCTTTGCCCATTCCCAGCATTTGGCATGATCCTTGGCACTTAGACTACTTGATGCATGCTTAATGCATGGAATTAGTGGGGGGAGGACAAGGCTGGGAGAAGGTCAGAGCTCTCACTGTCAGTACTGTGCAGAGGTAGAGGGCACGCTGAACTGGGACTCAAGAAACCCAGGCTTTGGTCCAAGTTTTCCTTTGCTTAGTTGAAGGAATTCTGATTAGCTCTCTTCCTTTCTTGGAACCTCAGTTTCTCCAGTTGTTATATGAGGAGTTTGGACCAAATCCTCCAGTTTCATATTCTGGTTACTGTTGCTCTGATTTCTCAGAAATTTTTTCCCTTTTGCTCAGGATTTTATAGGTCAGGAAGCTAGGAAAGGCTTGGTTGGGTAGTTGGATTGGTTTTGCTTAGAGTCCTACATGCAGCTGCAGTCAGATGTCGGCTGTGACTGCCAACATCTGAAGCTCAGCGGGACTAAATGTTCACAGTGGCATGTTCATGGGGCTGGCAGTGGACACTGGCCATTGATGGGATCTCAGCTGAAGCTGTCAACCTAAGCACCTACAAACAGTCTCACTAGCATGGCAGTCTTGGGTGGTGGACTTCTTACATGGCAGCTGGTTACCCCAGAACCAGCATCCCCAGAACACTGTGTGGAGAGGGCATGGCCCCTGCTAATCTAGCTTTGTAAGTTACATAGCATTGCTTCTTTTATTTTCTGTTGGTCATAGGAGGCATTTACTCAACCAGATTCACTTCTTGATGACAGAAATGTTAAAAAAAAAATTCAGGATATTTTTTAAAAAAGAACAAAAAACCCAAATGCCACCTGTGATCTGTGGGCTCCTTCAGCCTTGGCCTAAGTCCCTATGGCTGGAGCTGAACAAGACTGTCTTGTTGTGGCTGTTGGGAGAACAGGGTAGTGTGCAGGATCTGTGAGACACCCCACCCAAGCACTTTTCCCTGGCAGGGGGTCTTCTCTCTCCTCCTTCCTTGGTTTCTTTGGGTTCTAGGCTGCATCTGTGTTTTCTAGATAGGTTGAGTCATTGCATGGAGGAGGGGTCCCCCAGAGTAAAGTAGGCCACATGGACCTAACCAAGAGAGGAGGCTAATATTTAATGAGCATCTATTGTTTTCCCTTTTGAAAATTCTATATAGCAGGTACTGCAGGAAGGAATTTATTTATTTCTATTTCTTCAGAGAGATGTTACTGTCATCTTCCTTTTACAGATTAGGAAATGTACGTTCACAAGGTTCAGTGGCTTGCCTGAAGTTGGTGACAGCCTCATAATTCCAATTCCCTACACCTTCTGCCCCTGAGACAAACATGAAGCAGAAGAAGCTCACAGGTCCTCCTGCATGTCACTCTCACCTCCCTCCCTGCTTCTATCCAGGGCCCACATTTGGCCATTCACCTTCTCATCAGAACTGACCTATTATGAGTTCCAGTTCTGTGTTTCCGAGCTGATATTCCCTAAAGAGAGTTTCCATGCAGGTGCCAATGGCCAATGATGAAGATCCCTAACATCCTAGATCTGTCTCATTACATAGGCAGCCACAAATCCCCCATCTACAAGTAAAGTCTACCCTTAATTCTGAGCATACGCTGTGACCCATAGAATGCAGTAGAAGTGACCCTGTGCTGTTTTCCTGGTCCAGCACTTAAGAAACTGGAAGCTTTCATTTCCTGTCTTGAAACAGTCTGTCTGGGAACATTGTGACATGAGGAAGGAATCTGTAGATGCTCAGCCTGGCTGACAGTCCCACCTGAACCCAGGCTTCAGGCCATTCTCACTGAGGTGCAAGGCTTCCTGGGACCACCCGTGTCAGGTCACCTGCCATTTTTATATCACTGCATGACCTCAGTTGTTACCAGAAGGGTTGTGCAGACGACCAATGCCTGAATTCCTTACTCACAAAACTGTGAGCTGTCATAAAATGGTTGTTTTAAGCCACTAAGATTTGAGCTAACTTGGAACATAGAAAGAGGTAACAACCAACATGGACCAACATGGACCAACATGGATTATCTCAGACAATCCATGCATTACCTCTGTTTCACAGACCAGTAAATTGAAGATCTCTCAGGAAATATGAGATCAAATCAGCATTTGAACTTGAACTTGGGAGTCTGATTTCAGAGCTCCCCTGCACTGAAGCACTTGTTACCTTACCTCTTAGTGTATCTGTGTGCCCCTCTTGGAGGGGAGCTGCCATTTCAAGCAAAAGCATTACCTTCAGCCAAAGGATTGATTGACTGTACAAGGAATGACTTTTCCAGCACCTAGATATTCCCATGTTTGAAAGAGATGTGGCCAGATTTGGACTCGAGTTGGGCTCCTCCCTTGGCAAAACTCAGGATAGCAAGGGACTGATTTACGTTTCATTATGTACCTATGGCTGATATGGGGCCTGTTCATGTTAAGTGCTTAATAAATGTTCCATGAATAACCCAGGAAGGAACAAGAGAGGAACCGTAGAGGAGAGCCCTCGGGCTAAAATCTGGACAGAAAGGTTTTCCCGCCACCTAGCGGCTATTTCTGGAATAACACTTTTCTCCCTGTGGCAGGGGAAGAAAATGGAAGGTTCCTTTAGGGACCTTGGGTGAATGTCTGAAATTACAACCTATCATGTTGCTCCCGACTGGAGTCAGGTAGGATGGGAGTGAGCCTCCCCACCCCAAACCAGATGCCTTCCCTCTTAGGATATCTGTGCTCCTTCAGGGAGCCAGGAAGAAGTGCTTCCTCTGCCACAAGCTCATTCCCTTCTTTATAAGGCAGAGCACTCAGTGGGTGCTTCATAAGTAGTCCATAGCTGGGACAGAAATTTGAAAAAATAAGTGATGTCACATCCTGTAGCTCATCTTTCTCCTCCACGAAAGTTTCCAAATGGCTCTCAGTACTTAGAACATGGCTTGTTCCCAGCCAGTCCACGTCCCCAGCACCAAGTCCCTGCCTTCCCTCTCCTCCCTCTGGAGCCTCCAGACACTGGCAGCTTCCCAGCCCCTGCCTCTTCCTGAGGTGAGCTTTCATGCACATCCCACCACCACCACCCCCTTGCTGAGCTGACAAGTATAGCTTCCCCTAGCAGTCTGGCAGCACAGAAATGTCCCCTGCAGGAGGACACTAAATGCCATCCTTATACAAAATGGAGCCTCCTCTTCCTCACCTGGAAAAATCTGGACCACAGCCTCTCTCTCCAAGAACCGTGGTGAAGATTGCAGGAAGTTAGATGTGTGGAGGAGTTGGAACCCAGTAAGGGCCATCCTAAGTGTGTGCATTGTTAATACCTAGAGGAATTCCTAGGAAAAAATACACGTCCCTCCCCAAACTCCTCAGCCAGCAGCCAGAACCCACAGGAATCCTGCCCGCCTATCCCTCCCAAGCTTTTGCACCAAAGCTTCCCTCAGGATCCTTGGCTTCTCCCATCCCCTCTCTGTGGCCCCGAGAGCAGGCAAGAAAGGCAAGAGGGATTTGGTAAGAATAGACACTTTATTGTACACCAGGATGGGGGAGAGAGAAAGAAAGGGCCCTGGGGTGACAATGCCTCATCCCCTCCTCTGGGCTGTGGTCCTGACTGAGGGCCGTGACCAGCCATGGGATGCATGGACTTGAACTGTTTCAAACTTGTGCCAGGACGCAAAGTGACTGCCTGGTGTGTGTGCTTGGGTCTGTACAAAGCAGGCCTTTCCGTGAGAAGGGGTGCCCCAGCCCGTCATTGGGCTCCAGTGAAGGGGGCAACAGTCCTCACTTTCGGGGGCCTAGTGCGGGCACCCAGGGTACACCCAGGGACCCAGAGTCAGGTGCTTTGCAACTTGATCAGTCTCACTTCTCTTTTCACGGTGGGGATACTCTGGTGAGGGGTGGGCGGCTGTGAGGAAGAACAGAGGGGCAGCCCCTGCCTGTAATACTGCTGCAGGCCTGCATGGGTTCTGGGTCCCAGCCTCATGGTCTACACAGGCTGACTCAGGAGGGCTCCTCCTGGCACTGAGAAAGCAGCAGTCCCTGCAGTTATTGCTGGAGGGCAGAAGCAAACCTGACCTACATCACCTCTTGTGCCCCACCCTGTCCACCAGTCATGGGCCTTGGCTTCATGTTGCCTCAGTGGACAGGGCGGAAGGCTCCCTGAGCAAGAAGCTGGTGATTGGGGAATGGGGGAGGCAGGGCCAGGGGTCTTTGACAGGCACGCCCCCCCACCCTGCCCCAACTCAGTGACTACCGCCCTGGAGCCCCTCTGTCTCCTGGTGGGCACTGCATGGACAGCACCAAAGCCAGTGGAGGCGGGGGCCCTGGGCAGGAATTTGAGGAGCTGCCCCTCTCTGGCCACCTCCTGCTTCCCCAGGAAAGCTGCAACTGGATCTCAGCTTGTCAGGTGTCCCACCTGCTCCTGACTGCTCTGTGGAGCAAGCAGAGGTGTCAGAAGCACAGTCGGGCCAACTGTTCCTTTCCGAGTAAGAAGTCGAGGGCCATCTCAAGGACAGAAGTGCTGTGAGACACCTTTTTGAGGTCTCACCATGTTAAGAAACCCAGGACTTTTCCTGCAGAGGAACTTGTGACTCCAGTGGGAATAGCAAGAAGTTGACTGGATAATAAATTTGGGGCTTTCCCCTCAAGGCCCTCCTTCCACCCAGAGACATGGAGGCAGCAAGTCACCAGCAAGAAACACTTGCCTTTCCTCGAAGCTGGGATTTCAGGATGCCAGCTCTGAGGCCTCACCCACAGAGCTGAGAGAAGGGGAGAGACAGGGAGGCAGCATGGTCTCCAGGAAGGTGGTGAACACTGGGGGTCACAAATAAGCACCCTACCTACACTCACACCCACAGATGTGCACGCCACACATACACACACACACACACACACACACACACACACACGCGCGCGCGCGTGCGTGCGCACCTCAAGCTCTGGGCCCTATGGCTAACACACAGCAAAGACACAGCCAGGACAGAGCCAGGCCGACAGTGAAAGGCTATGACAAACACTACTGAGCCCACAACAAGCAAGCAACCAGCCCCAGCTCAGCCCCTCCTGCAGGCTCATGGGCTGGGGCCTGGCCCAGCCATGCTACAGAATTAAAAATATATCAAATATACAATGAAAATAGATCTGTACAGCACTGAGGATGAAAATAGTCCACCAGCCACAGTATAATATTGGGTTTGTCATTTCACAGCATTTACACCCACATGTACAGATTGAATGTACACTAGAAATAGCATGTATAGAAGAGTATAGATAGTGGAGTGTCTCCTGGGGCCTTGCTCTTCCTGTTGCTAATTCTGCTCGGGACTAGGCATGGAGCCAGGTAGGGGGTGTTGGCAGGTAAGGGGCCTCTCTTTGTGAAGATATGGGTGGGGTGATCTCCCTTTCCCCTCGAACACTCAAGAAGGACAGGTGGGGCTGAGAAGGCTAGAAATGAGAGATGTGGGTGGAGGAGGGATGAGTAATGGAGATGGCACACTGGGGAGGGGGGACCAGGGGATCAGAAGTACAAGAGAGGACCTGGGCCTAGTCTGCCCTTCCCAGGGCTGAGAGCATCCAGGGTCACAAATGTAACTCAGAACCAACTGTAAAGATGCCCAAACCTAGAACTGTGGGATGCTCTGTCCTGGCAAACTCTCAAAGACAGAGCCAGTCTTCCTCTAGCCTTTCCATCCACCAATCCATTTGTCTGTACATCTACCCATCCCTCATCCATCCATCCATCCGTCCGTCCATTCATCTCTCTCTCTGAACATTTATTCTCCGTTCAGGATCTGAGTCCTCACAGGCTATAGTCCCAGAGCAATTCCTCCTCCAGGGGAGGCCCTGAAGGGAAGAGCTAGCAGGGTCACTGCCATCAGCTGCAGCCTCCTTTGGGTGCTGGACCTCAGGACAGAGGCTCTACTTTGTCCCTGGCAACCTCCAGCATCTGAAGCACTATCTGTGGCTGTCTGCCACGGGTCAGAGAAGCACAGGAAAGGTTTTCAAGGCGCCTGCACAGGATGTGCACACTGGGGGCTGTGCTTGTGAGATGAGGGAAGTGAGTGGTGGCCCAAAGGGGCACGGAAATTACCTGTCTTTTCCTCAGGAATGACGCTTCCTGAGGACAACCCCCTGGGACCCCATTCCAGGGACCCCATTCCAGGGGAGAAGCTGCCACTAGAAAGAAAACTGGGCCCAGGTAAGGGGAGGCAAGAGTGTGCTTCACAATTGTGCTCCAACCCATCTGAACTGCGCTGGGAACTACCAAGTTGGGCCCTGGAAGCCTCACCTTGCACTGCCCCCTTCTGGCTGGGGGAAAGACGAAGAGGCCAACACCCTCCCCTCCAGGCTGATGGGAGGGGCTGGGCAGTGGCCAATCCCTAACCGAGGTGGGTAGGTTCTGGCAGGCTGCAAGAGCACAGCCCACTCACACCAGGTAGGGACACAGACATCCAACGGTCCTTACACCTGGGGATACCCCTTGCTGCCAGAGTCCATGCTCAAGCTGGAGGGCTGCACCTACCTCACAAAACAGGATCTGGAAGCTTCCACACACTCCTGGGATGTCTGTTCCCATCCCCAGCTTTAAGCAGCCTGCCAAAGTCCTCCTGTGCACCTCTAAGGCTGATGCCTCTCTCTACAGCCGTGTGGCAGCACAAGGAGACCCTCCCCAGGCCTAAGGACGGTAGGGGGCAGGGTACAGGGAGAGAGGGGAGTGGAGTGACTCTTCAATGGCCACTTGGAGTCCCTGCTATATTGGGAATCAGGGCTTCTGGATGGTTCTGGTTACATGGCTGCAATTTGGTGAGAGGTTCTGAGAGTCAGGTGGATCGGGGGCCTGGATTAGGGGACAGAATTGTCCCTAGTCTCGTGATTGGGCTAGGAATTAGAGTCTGTTGGGACAGGGGTAGAGAATGAGGGAGGGAGGACCCTCTCTTCTTCGGCAGAGGGCCTGGCGGCTACTGTGGAGGAAGAGGCCAGGCCCAGACAAATGGGCAGGCTGGGCATGGGGGAAGAGTGGGCAGGCTGGGGGCAGTGGTCACAGCTCTGACTCAGGAGTGGTGGCCAGGAGGTAGCCGCTTCCATAGCGTCCATTGGGATTGCCACTGGTCTCCAGGGGTGACGTGCTGCCGGGCCCCAGGTAGGAGCGGTGGGTGGGCATGGGGGAGGGCGCCTCGCTGGGCACCTTGCTGAGGATGAAGCGAGTCTCATCATTTTCCTCCAGGTTGGAGATGTCCTTCATCATGCGGCCCTTCTTGTAGGACACGGAGAGGGTGTTGGAACCATCAGAGAGCAGGTGGAAGTGTCGCAGGATGAAGACCACTGGCATGGGCAGGGTTGCCACGATGATGAGGGTGATCAGGAGTGCCATGGCCCAGTTGGGGAAATACAAGTAGCGCTCTGCAGCCTGGAGGTGGGTGGCAATGAAGGTCGCTGTTCCACGGGGACAGCCAGCCTCCCAGGCCTCCAGGACTGCCTCTCCCTGTCTTGGACCACAGCCTGCATTTCTCTCCTCCCAGCCTGGCCAGGCTCCAGTGGGCATGGCAGTCATTAGGGGTGCTACTTGATTTTAGTTTATCACGTTGGTTAAGGGGTCTCAGTCTCTACATCTGTAAAGTGGATGGGTAATTCTACTCCTCAGATGTGGAGAAAGAATTATGGGTTAGAAAGATTAGATAAGTACGTTAATCCTTCTGAGCCTCAGTTTCTTCATTTGTGCTACAGGAATAATGCCTCTTATCTCTGGTTTGTAGATTAGAGATTATGTGTGGGTCTGACATATAGTAGCTGTCTTTTAAAGGTTTATCCCAATTCCCTATTGCATTAAGGCCTGGGGATACACACATGTTCCCTGGGTTTCTGGGACCCCACCCCTCACCTCCTCTTTGATCCAGGCGCTGTAGCCTGGGGGTGTCACCCCCAGCTGGATGATGCTGGCTGAGGTCAGCACAGCCATGCACAGTGGAGACACAAACTTCCACATGTAGAAGTAGAAGCGGTAGGGTTGGAAGCCCAGCATCTCTGTCAGCTCCTGCATGAACCTGCCGAGCAGAGCAGAGGGCCCAGGAGTTGTCTGCTCCTTCCCCGCAGCCACCTCCTCCAGGAAGCCTTCACCAGCTCCTCCCAGCCCTCCTAGTCTTCACCTTCGGTGCTCACAGTGTGAGGTCTGGCTGACCTCTGGGAAGTGCTGCTGACTACCTCACACCACACTCCCGCCAGGGATAGGATACATCCCATCAGGCCAGCCCTGGGCCTGCACAGAGGACCAGCACTAGAGAGCTGTGTCCAGAAGTGCCCAGCCCCTCACACTGGTTTGGATTGTGTCGCCCCTGCTGGACGAGAGCAGCAGTTTACCAGCATGGTTTCTAACCTTTGACTCCGTGTGTAGAATTCCAGGAGGCAGGCAGGTTGTGTACTTTGTACTGCATACAAAATCACCTTTACCCCAATTAAGCCTAACTGAAATTGGGCAGTTCCTTCTATTACAGCATCAACAAATTACCTATGACTGTCACCAATGGGTTAATTCACAGATATTTTCATTCCACATTACAGTTGTTAAAATACCTAGAGACATCACTTGTGTTCATCGCTACTTTAAGTTACTATTGCTACTAGATCCACAACTAGATCTTGTAAGTTAATGCAATAAAAATAAAGTACATTACTATTTCACAGATTTAAATGGTATTTTGCTACTTTTCAATAGAGTTTTCTACATAATCCTACATATTTTATCTTATATATTAAAAATAATATTCTGAGAAGGGTACAAGGGCATCACTGGTCTGTCAATGGTGTCCAGGGCACACAGAGTTAGAGGCCCTCTAGCAGTGGCTTCTAACCCTGCGGCTGAGGCAGAAGAGTGCTCCCTTCCCTCGCCTCCTTGTTCCCTCCTGTGCTTTCTTAAGAAGCAGGCAGACTCCTAGGAGAGACCCTTGGCTCCAAAGCCAGCCCCAGGCATTGGGGAGGTAAGATTGAGTGGAGGTAGTGGGCCTTGCAGAGGACAAACAGTGAGGCCACTGCCAGTGCCGAGAGACTAGGCAAGGGCTGGTCTTGGAGCTTCCTGGGGACAGATTTGTCCTTAAATGAGGAATGAGGCTGGGGACTGACACTGAGTGGAGGTCTGCCCTAGGCTCTGGTCATGACACTAGAGCCCTTTGATTGCTGATCTTCTTATCCTGTCTGACCCCAAATTTAGGCCAGAACCACACCTTAAAATTGTGAAGTCTGTAGGCGAAGGCTGCTGAAGTCACCAAGTTCTTTGAGGGCAGGGGACCCAGTGTCTCCACCAAGTGCTTAACAAGCTTAGTAGGATTCTGAAGAGTGTCAGGGCCAGGAAAGGGGCCACAGTAATTTAAGGCAGTTTAGGCTGGCACCAAGACCTGAAACCAGGACTCCTGGTCCTTAGCCTGGCTCTGTCTCTTACTAGCCTGTCTTCTCTCTAGCTTCAGTTTCCCAGGGCCAAAGGGCACTTTCCCTCCCGACATTCTGATTCTATTCATAAGCAGCCCTGAGCACACAGGACTCTCCGGGAAGTCACAAGGGACAGAACCCTCTCCTGTCCCCTCTCCCCCACATCTCCCTTACTTCTTGGTTCCATAGATCCAGGCCACAGCGATGTTCTCAAGGATGACGATGACGGTGAGTGGCAGGGTGGCTGAGTAGTCATCAAACATGGTGACAAAGTAGTTTCCAGAGCGCTGGACGAACAACAGCCCCACGAAGAATGCAAAGACACAGCAGCCCACTACAGAGAGCCGGGAGGCCGGTGTGGGGCAAAGGTGCAGGGTGGGTGGGGCACGGGAGTCTCAGGGCCACCCAGGTCCCTCCCATCATGCTGTTCCCCCCACAGGCCAGCAGTCTCCCCTCAGCAGGCACAGGCCTGCAAGAAGGATGAGATGCTGAGGTGCTGGGGTCCCCCTCTACCAGGGAGGGAACATCTGAGGAGTGCATCAGTCTACCGTCTTCCGTACCCCTCCTGGGACAGTGCCTGGCCCACAGCAGCTGTTCTGTTTAATTGCTGCATTGAATTTAAATGATTCGTTGGATTGTTCCTGGGTTCTTTTTCTCCACCTCAGTTTCCCCATCTGAGAACAGGAAGATATTCCCCTGGGGATGCAGGTGAAAGGGAGCCATGTACGTAGCTCAGTGCAACTCAGCAGAGGCCAAAGGGAACTGTGGACACAGCCAGGGACCCGAAGTAACAAGGTATGACAAAGTTGAGGGCCAGAGCTGGAGAGGGCACCCCTGCCCAAGACCAGTGAGCAGGCCCTCGGGGAGACAGCAAGAGAACCCAAGTAAGAGGCCTCGCTCCTGGCTCAGGTTGGGCCCAGATTCCCAAATAGCTTTCTCCCCCTGCCTCCAGAGTGCTGGGGGCTCAGCGACACAGCCAGGCTCCAGCTGTATCCCCATGGGGAGGGCTTTCAGACCTGAGGTCGTGAATGACCCAGCTGGAACTCAATTTTCTAAAACCAGAGTCAGAACAAGACTGTTATCCGTGGGGCAGGTGAGACCCACGCGGGGCTGTGGGGAGGAGTTACCTGTGAATATCTCCTTGGGTACCTTGAACGTGTCGATGATGGGAGTGGTGATGCCCGCCATGGTCCCGATCATGCTGCCCAGGCCCAGGTTGATGAGCATCAGGAAGAACATGACGGACCAGAAAGGGGAGGCAGGGAAGTGTGTCATGGCCTCAGTGAAGGCGATGAAGGCCAAGCCTGTGCCCTGCACGGACTGAGGGTGGGGTGGAGAGCGAGAGGCTGTGAGGGCCACCCCCACCCGGGAGCCCCCTGCTTTCTTGCCTCTGTCCCTGGAGCTTTAGGAATCACTGTTCCTTCCCTCACAGGGATCCTCGCCTCCACCTAATTCTGTTGGTTTGGGCCAATGGGTCTTAAACTTTAGTGGGCATCAGAATCTCCTGGGGGGAGTGCAAAGGTACCAGTTTTGGATTTTCCCCTAGGAAACCTGGAATCTAGAGGTTGTACACAGACCTAGCTGATTCTGATGAGATTGTTCACACCTAGAGACAGACCCAGCATGAGACTATGATGTCTTCTCAGATCGCACAGCCATACTGGCTGCTTCTAGCTCTGAACTCCTGAGCCTCAGACTTGACTAGAGCAGTCACAGGCTAGGCTACCCAGTGGGAGATTGTTGGAACCTTTACAGTCCTTCATGCCTAGGTCTCCCCAGGGACAATGATTTGAGGGTCTGGGGTACAGCTGCTCTGGGGGTTTACAAAGCTCACTAGTGACTCTAATGTCCAGCCAAGGCCAGAAACCACCGGCTTAAAGCTTGGGCCCCTGATCACAGGGCAGCTAAGTACAGTGCAGGCTGACATCACTCACATGCTCTCTTGTAATGCCAGTGACTGTAAGGGCACATGTGGCCATTTAGATGCTCTTGAAGTTGTACCATATGAAGAAACTGCTAAAATCCTAGTTTTATTCAGAGGTCCAGGCCACACCCATAAGAATGGGGCAAGGTTTCATGGAACATGGAAGGTGGAGGTCCTGTGTGCTGCCAGTCACCAGGGGAAGGAATCAGGTAGGAGGTCCCCAGACCACCTGGGGAGGGGTCAGGATGTGGGACACCGCTCCCTCAGGCCAGTGGAACTGACTTCTAACATAAAGCTCAGGCATCACCTAGGGGAAGCTTGTGGCCCTGTGAAGAAGGGCAGGGTTAGCCTAGGCTATGGGACCCCTCTCTGTCTCATGGGGGCCTTGGTTCCAGCCAAGTTCCCAGAACCCTGTGGATGTGTTTCTGACCTGTGACCCCTTCTAACAGACAGTGCTTAGCTGTGAAAATGTAAATAAAAGAAGGTGTTTCAACTTGGACCTGAACATTAATGAACAGGCAGCATCTTTTTGCCCCAGCTTGGGGACTGAGGGCCATCATGGCAGTGGGATTTGGAGGGGGACAGCTGGGACAAGGGACAGAACTATCAAGGGATGAAACACATGGACTGAATGCTGGCTCACCCATTTACTAGCTGTGAGACTTTGATCAAGACCTCCAACCTACAGGCTACTGGTAGGTAACCACTGGTAAAACAGGGGGCAATACTCAATTCATAGAGATGTTACAAGGTCCAAAGGGGATGGAGAGCCAAGGGCAGACAACAGCATATTTCATACACCACAGGCCAGGCACTGTTAAGTGCGTTACATGTGGCAGGATGGTAACTCATACACAGGAAGTCCACTTAATCCATGCAGAAGTGGCCTTATACCAGCTGAGGGTTCTGGGCTATAACATGGTGCCTGCCTTGGCCCCTTGTCTAGACATAAGCCAACCTCAGGGCAGGAGCTTTGCCTAACAGCTTTTCTCTCTCTCCCTCTGGACAAGTAAGTCCTTGCCTGTTACATAAACCAGTGACTGCCTATGGGCTTTCCAAGGCTTTGCCCACGCTCCAGTCACCCATGGCCTATCTCTTGGCTCCTGCATGTACTAGGAAGGACAGCCTGGCCCCACACCTTATTTAGCTCATCCTCTAGGAGGCAGGGATCCAGGCCCAGAGTCGAGAATTTATCCTCCTTTACGGTCCGGATGACACTGTACATTTCCGCATAGTCCTTGGTGGTCAGGTGGGAAAAGTTGACATGGGGAGGGATGAGGTCTCGGCTCAGGACATTGGAGTTGAGGTACCCCAGGATTTTCTCAGCATTCCTGCAGCACAAAGGGGAGAGGCTTAGGAAGGAAGGCAGGATTGGGATCTTGGAGGTACCTCCTGGATATCCAGGAAAGACCCCCTCCCCTCCATGGGCCACTGACAGAGGCATCTCTGAACCTATCTTGTGGGCTAGTGCTGGAGACAGGCAATTCTCTGATCTCATTCCTCAGAGGAGCGGAAGAGACCTCTCTCCCTGCACAGCCCACGTTCCATTCCTGGGTGAAGTGGGCAGGGGAAAGGAGGACAGGAGGAGCAATGCTACCTACTCAACCACACACTTCTCATTCATGATGTTGGCCTTGAAGCCCAGCACAGCGAATACCACGAGGGTGGCCAACACCGAGGTGAAGAAGTTGATGAAGGACACCAGGGCAGCGTCAAAGTGGCAGTTGTTGTCCTGCTTGTTGTAGCTAGAGAAGGCGATAACACCGCCAAAGCCCAGCCCCAGAGCAAAGAAGACCTGTGTGGCTGCCTCCCGCCACACCTGGGGATCCAGCATCTTGTCCAGCTATGAGGAAGATGATGACAAATGGGAGAAAACAGAAATAAAAAGGTGATTTTACTCACGAGCACTGAGGTTCTCTCCACATACACTTCTCTAAGCCTCAACAGAGTTCAAAAGCAACATGGCATAGTAGTAAGAAGCCCTGGCTGTGTGACCCTGGGCGATTCACGTAACTCCTCCGAACCTCAGTTTCCCCATGTCTAAAGCATGAATGACAAGAGTATCAACTACAGAGGATTTTTCAGTGACTAGGTAAGATGAAACAAATGCCAAGTGCTTACATAGTCAATTCTCAGTTACTCTTAGCTGTTATCATCACTTACCTTGCAGCTGTCATACTAAGAAACAGCCGCTGGGGATACAGCTCAGTGATAGAGCGCTTGCCTAGCAGGCACGAGGCCCTGAGTTCAATTCCCAGTACAGAAAAAAAGAAAAAAGAAAAGACAGGAAACACAACCAAGACCATCACAACTCAAGGCAGTTCTACTCACTTACACTGTGGTGTGAATGGTGCCTCCTGAAGTCATGCAGTCAACAGCCTGCATAACAGCACAAGAGAACTGAGAATACCTGACACTGTCTCCACCTCAAACTGTGGAAAGCAAAACAAAAATAAAACAAGTCCTTCTCCTCCCCTATACCGACCTGGTTTCCCCTTTCACAAGGCTCACTCACACACATCTACATGCTGCAAGTCACAGAAGCTGCTTGCAACCTAACTTGGGGCACAAAACCAAGATACTTCCTGGAGACAGGCAGACCTTGCCTGGGACTTCCATCTGCTCTCAGCCCTGCTAGGAGCCTCAACCACAATAGCATTTGGGTGGCAATGGCAATTACCAAAGCCGTTTTCCTATCAATTTTCCTTTTACCCTTAAGGCTGGGACCTGGGGAGCAAAGGTGGGCAGGGTCCCAGCTCTCTTAGAGTTTACCTTTTCATTACAGAGACGCACACTGGTCATGTGATCCCACGAACAGATGCTAAATTGCAACTGTGACAAAGGCTGTGAAAGCCAGGCACACAGTGCTCTGAGAGGCTCTAAGGGGTCAGCAAGGCTTTCGGTGGGAAGGAATCCTCCAACTGATACCTCACAGATAACACTGGAGGTTAGAGGAGGAGTATTCAGCCAATGTTCCAAGTTGGCACAGAGACTGGTGTGCAGAGGGAGATGGTGGCAGTCAAGCTGGCTGCAGCACAAGAACAAGGCAGGAGTGGACCAGGCAAGGCCAGACAGGAGCAAGCAAAGGCCTTAGGGATCCTTGTCTTCATCCTAAGAAAGCATTTGATCCACGAAACCACCAAGGGGCTGCCCAATCAGATGAACATTTCCAAAAGAAGCAGATGGATACAGCAAGAAAGCTGTGAGGAAGCACGCTCTGGGTTCCAGGTGCCAGGTGGAGGTGGCTTTGCCTAGGAGACTTAAGCAGGAGAAACCAAGGCATTGGAGAGGGAGAGGCCAAGGTGACAGCCACATTTCAGGCCTGCGTGCTGAGTACATTAAGGTGGCAACAGGGGAAGAGGAGTAGGTCGGTGGGATTCGGCAGCACAGATCAAGATATTAGTTCTGCAGAGGGTGGGTTGGATGTGTCTTCAAGGCATTTAGGAAGAGATATCAAGTGGGACAGATGAGTTTGGTGTTGAGAGGAGGGAGTGGAGCTGGAGACGTGGGTTGGGAATAGTGGGTGTCCTGGCAGGAAGTAAAGCTGTGGCTGTAGGTATCAGTGAGAAGAGGCTACTGCCTGGGGCCAAGTCCACCTCCGATGCTATTTCACACAGGGAAGAGGAAGAATCTCTCAAGGGAGCCAGGCAAGCAGGCAGGAGGAAACGGAGGGGGTGCATGGGGAGGATGAAGGCCAGTCTGCCCAATGACAGGCGCCAGGAGAGGGAGTTGGCAGCCAGGTCACAGGCGGGCTTCAGAGGAACTGTTCCGGGAGTGAAGGAGCAGAAGCCAGGTGGAGGGAGGACAGGAGAGAAGCAGAGGGGAGGAAGTGGAGGCCAGGCAGATAAACAAGTCTTTGGAGCAGCTATTCTTAGGCTGGGAGGGAAAAGGGCATAATTAGGAAGAGGCAATGGAATCCATGAAGGTAGCTTTTTTGTATAAGGTCTCAGTTTTGTTTGGGATGGGATGATTTGATGATATGATATATAAAAGCTGATGGAGCATAGGGAAGTGGGGGAGAGGCAGAGCTGTCTTCCATAAGAGCCCTTCAAGGTGCCCTTTAGAGAGAGAACTTGGTGCCTATTTTTCTGTAAAGCAGGATATGAAATCATGTGGTGGGAAGAGTGTGCTAGGGGAGGAGGAGAGAGGGGTCAGAGGGGCAGAAGTGGTTTTGATGGTCATGGTGGAGCATGAGAGACTAACATGGCCAGAGAAATGTGGCAGGGCTGTCCCTCACTGCTGGGCCCACACACCTGCACAGGCGGAGGTCTAGTTTTAAGGTAAGATGAAATATTATCTTTACAGAAGCAACCTAGGCCCACAGATCCTAAAAGATCTAAAAGCCCCGGGGTCAGACTGGTTTTGGACTTCAGGTCTGTTTGTAATTTTAGGAAGGTAAGATGGTTCATATGCCACATAATTATATAATTCCCCCCAGCAAGGCCTGGGGAAGCACCCTGTAATCCAACACATTAGGATTTCTGCAGCAGAATATGAATTTTCACACCAAGTGAATCAATAAAGGCTATAAATAGCATCACATCTGTGCAGGTTGTTTTGTCTCCAAAAGAGTTTGGGAGAACAAAGCAAAACCACACATTTGTTTTTCAAAGCCCTTGGGATTTCAGTGTTGTGGGTAAGTAAATAGGGGCCTGTCTACACCTTAATAGAGATTCGGAGATTACAAAAAGGAGAAAATAATCATAGTTTTCCTGAGAAAAAATTTCTGTAACTCTTTTCTTTTGGGTGAAGGTTTTAAATGATCCTCTCCAAACGCTCCAGAAGTGAGGGGAGACAAGTTAGCCTTCATGGTGTCCATGGGTGGCCATTGTGATAGTTCTTCCACTCTGCTGGAGCCTGGAAGCTGACACCTTCAGCCTAGAAGCTGACACCTCCCAGGAAAGCCATGGTCATTTAGGTTCCAGCTAGTATTAAGTGCGAGATTTTAGAGTGCAGGTTGAGATAGAAAAGCTCTAGTCATGTCCTGTGCATGATGAAAATCTTCAAAAGCTTCCCATTGTCTTCTGGAAAATCATTATTCATTCCTCTATGTTCTGAATACTCTAAATGCAGTACTGAAGCACTATGGTCTTTCACACATCTGGTGTTGGCCCTAGCTGTGCCCTCTGCCTAGAATTCCCTTCCTCCTACTCACTTTCTGGTGAACTATTTATTTCTCAAACCCAGCACACATATCACTCCTCTTTGAAGCTTTTCCCGACTTCCTGTAGCAGAGCCAGCCATAGTCCCTGGACTCTCCCAGTTCTTGTCAATGTCCACATCGCAGAATTTGTGTCTGTCTTTCTTCCAGAAATTTGTGCCTGGGGCTGGAGCCCATCCCCTGTCTGCGTCTATATAAACTGTGCCTTGGACGTGGATGGAGTGGGGAGCAAGAGAGACAGACAAAGGCTGACCTGACTCCTTGGGGCTGTGAGCTGAGCAGAAGGAGCAGATGAGGGGCTGTGAAGCTCTACCAGCCTTTTCAGACTGAGATATGGTCTTCTAAGACAGGAAGTTTCGTAGGACTTGAAACTTCTATTTTATAAAGCGATTATTGTGTAATTCTGGGTCTCTCCCCCTCCCCCACCTTTTTGGTAAGTATTCTTGTTTGAGCTATAACAAACATTACTATAATTTTTATAAAAAGTTCCAGACCATCTGTGGGACTCAAATACTTGCCATCATTAGGGTTTTCAACACTTCCTAAACATAAAACAAGATGTGGACAAATTTCTAGCCCCAGTCACTGTTCAGGGCCAAATTTCCTAAGTGGAGGCAGCCACTCTAGGGGAGACACCACAGTCTCAGTGGCGCCCTCAGAGCTGGTACAGAGCTGGGGGTTTTCTCAGAGGACAAGGCAGGACTGCTGTATATGTGACAATTTTGGAGGAAAGAAAAGCCTTTTCTTTGTTAAGATTTTATCTATAATTTTTCCATTTAAAAAATTTGTATTCATTATAATATCAGCAAAAATAGAGAAGATAGCATAATTAACTTCCACTTTATCCATTGCCTGATTTTAACAATGATGAGTACCTTGGCAATCTCATTTCCTCTACATCCTACCCATTACACTACTTTGAAGGAAATTGATGTACCCAAATCCAACACTGCAAAGGCCCCAGGACAGTACCTGAGGGTGCCAAAGCTTGACCTTCAAGGAAGAAGTACCCTTGTATGAGTGTTCCCTCGGCATCTCCATTCCCACTCTGTCGCCTGAAAGGAACTCTCACTGATGGAGATGAACACAGATTCCCGACACTAATCTGGAGAACACAGACTCAGATGCCTTCACTATGGAATACCTGTTCCTTGACTTTAAAGGAGGCTCTTGCCAGGTTGAATCCAGGCCAGGACCAGGATGCCCCCATGTCCTTTCCAGACATCAGGATATGACTGCAAAAGGAGAGGCGGGAAATGGGCTTTTCCCTCTGAAATGAAGCTTGCACCCTCCTCAGGGTTCCTGCTCCAAAACCAAGCAACAGCTTCCTGCTGTCTCTTTGGCACAATGGCTGAGTCACTTCCTCACACAGGGAACAAGGTGTTTCATGGAATTTGGCTCACCAGCATGAGATGCTTTTTGAATCTACAAGCAGCTGTTGAGCCCTAGCCTGAGCGGGTGCATGACACCTGCACCTGCCCTTGCATCTCAGCCACTGCTGCGGCACCTGCCTGTGTAGAGCTAGATGGGGCCACCAGACACCAGATGGCACTGGAGTGCTAGATTCCCACTGCCCAAGAACAGTGTCACCTTCACAAGGGACGAGGACAAAAATAGCTACTGCTTACCATGCACTGTCCTCTTGCCAGGAGCAGTCCTAGGAGCTCTCCTGACAACCAGTG